AAAAAATATATATGATTTTGTTATAAGGGTAATTTTGTAACTTTATATAATATAAAAAATTAAAACTTAATAAATTGAAAGTATTAAAAATAAAATAGTTAGTATAATTATAAAAATATGAATACTAATTTTATTTTTTGTCAAACTAAATATATTTTTTTGTAAGAGTAGTTTTGTCATTTACGTATTATATATACATATTTTTATTTTACTTATCTAATATGTATAATAGAATTCATGATCTTTTAAAAGAAATTGAAATTGTTTATTCAGTAGTGCGAATGTTTTTTTTTTAAATTATATAAAATTATTAATTTTTTTAATTAATTTATACATTTTAAAAAAGTGAAGTCGTTTTACATAGGAAAATTGATCATATATATATATATATATATATATTAGGAATTGAACTCTGAACATACAATTTACAACCCTCAAACTCAATTAACAATTGTTAATTTAGCTATTCCACCCACTCATAAAAGTTTGAAAATAATTGGCCCAAGTCCAATTCATAAGAACATCCAATCTATTTCATTTAGCATTTATCCAACACAAGGTAACAAATGTAGTATTTACTATGAAATATCAATAACTATTACATACTCATTCATTTCTATGTGTAAATTTTAATATAGAATGTCATTGCATTTCTTATTCAATTAATATGATTTTCGGTAACCTAAACTATCTATGTAACACAAGATACAAAAGAAAAAACTGTCACGTAGTAAGCAATCAACCCCATGTTTTTTCTTCAATTTTATAAAAAAATAATACAAGTAAAAGTAATGCACCAATTGATATCTTTAATTATACAAAGAAACTTATTTTTCTAAATTTATATATTACTTATAGAGCAACGTCTAAAATTGTTATAAATATTGTGTTGGCAAAAAAAGAAAACTTTTTTAAATTGAAGTTAATGAAATTTTATTTAAATATTAACAATATTATAAATAAAATTAAATAAACTGATTTTATTATTAATTAAAAACTATATTAATAAAATAAATAATAATTGAGAATCTCTTAAAACATCCTAAATACTTAATCATTATGGAAAATTATTTAAATGTCCGCACGCACTTATTTCAGAATAAACGTTGAAATATTTTAAAGCTGTATCTCCGAAATAATTTAAAACATTCAATACATCTCACTCAGAAGTCATTTACATTTGAATTGTATCAGAGATGTATCTCCGTGAATATTCCGAAGATACATCTCCAAAATATATCAAAACATATATTTAATGTTATAAGTTATTTATATGTGTTTAGATGAAGTATAAAGTACGACCGAAAAAAATAGATGTACATGATTCTAGATGGAGCAAAAATGCCATACAAAAATAAAATGGTTATATATGTCAAAAATATCGTATAATCGAGATTCAAAATGTAGTAATACCGTCAAAATAAAGTACAAATCATAGTACTACAACAAAATAATAAGAGACTACTATTGTGTGTGTCTGATAACCTCTCATCTACCTTCTTTGCCTGCTCTACCTCTTCGGCCATCAATCCCCTTGTCCTTCAGCGATGTCTCTGGTACAACAATGTCCCATGTGCCTCCGTCATAATGACATCTATAACTCGCCTGAAACTAGACCTATTAGGGAGGATACCCTTGTCAATTCCTGCTCGCGCAATCTCCACTATGCAACAACACCTAGGTAAAACATCATCAGTATGATCTAACTGAGTCTGCTTCTCCTCTAGTATCTCCTGATGAGCTGGTCTTGGTGGATCTCATGGAGTAGCATGCACCATGTACAGATGTGACACCCTGAAATCCTTGTTCAAGATGCTTACCAATCAAATATGGTAGCCTATACCTCCTCCGGTACCAGATGACTCTCATGATCATCAAATATCTTCTCTATTTGTCTATGTGTCAAGGCAGGAGGAGCAGAGACAATAAGATGTCTGAGAATGGTTTGAGTGTAGTCAAACTGCCGCATGACGTGCTCGGAAAGATGTGGAGCAGCGAGACGCGATCCGTAAGCCAACCATCCAAGGTATAGCATTATCTCGTCAAACGGCTGCGTCTGGCAGTGATCAACATAGAAGTTGAATTTCATGTCCTCAGCAACCAAGCGGTTAAGATAGACTCTAAAAGGCTCGGTTTCCTGATTCCCTCTAAGCAGGATAAAAGCAGTAGCACGTGATATATCCTTAGTGTACTCAGGCACACTCACCTAGCCAGAAATGCATGGAAAGTGTTGGAGGATCTAAGTCTGAAATAAAAAAGTTTGGAACACACGAAGCAACAGTAATGGTTTTGAAAAGATGAAATGAAAATGAAAGAAAAAACATTCAAAGAGCAATGATTATTACCATCAGTAGTGTCACGCTGCCTGTGACCTGCTTCGTCTTCTATATACAACCCTCTCTCAAGTTCGAATATAGATAGAACAAGCAAGTCGCCCCCAGTTGTACTTATGGATCCGCTCGAGATCCACGAAGTACCATAGGTAGATGATGTCAATATAAGTTGCACTCTTGTCCACAAAAATCGCAGTCCCAAGAAAAAGCAGGTATGCTCTCAAAGCATGTGATTTATGGACCGCTACCTACTTATCATCACCATGAGTCTGCTCTGCTCTCTAGATCTTAACCACATAGATCTTCCTCAAGAACTCCAATCTAGCATGAACACCCATGGTCCTATCCATCTCATTCATCGCCTCTCTGGATCAGCTCCCAGATGCTTTACCATCATCTCGACTGCCTCATCTTTGGTAATCCTCCCATGATCGAGGAATATCCTCTTGATTTGAAGAAATAACAAACACGAGACCTCGTCGAGTGTGATAGATATTTCACCATCCGGAAGATGAAATGACGAGGTCTCAGAGTGTCATCTCTCCACGAATGCATTATGCATCCTGTGGTGGTTAACCCGAGTGTAACCAATCATGCACAAGTCCTTCAGGCCAGATAAGGAAAAATCGACTGAAACCAATTCGCCTTCAGCTGAGGCAATGCAACAATCTTCCTCTCATGGTTAAGAAACTTCTAGGGATCACACTCATAAATTTTTTTAGAAATTATCAATTTCAGCAATTAAAAGTATCGCCAAAAAAAATTAAATAATCCAACTAATGCTACCTCTCAATCCCAGATATGTCTGGAAGTATGGTATGGATATAGAGCCAGTAAGGATAAATCAAATGGACCTCCTCCAAAAGTCTCTGGCTCGGCATCCGCAACATCCTCGCCCTCCGGAGGTGGCACTGAATCAGTAGCATCATCACTAGGAGGTGGGACAGGATCAACTGCATCATCCGTAGGAAGTGGCACTGATAAAACCTGACGCCTGCGGGAGGATGGGGGAAGTGATGTGTCAGATGACAACTCTTGTCTCCTATGGAAAGATGAGGTGGAATGGCCTGAGCAGAAGTGCGAACCCTAGAAGTAGACGACTTTGCTTGACCATAGAGGCCTGGAGTCTCCGAAACCTGATGGCTTCGCTCCAGTCGAACGAATGCATACTGAACAACCCTGTCATGCCTTATTTTGTCATGCTTGTCAACCATTATGCATGTAAGTTACAGTAAGGCATAACATTAGTGCAGGCAAACAACACACAAGCAAGAAAATTTAAAAAAAAATTGCAGGAAATTCCAGAGATATCTCCGGAATCACCAGGAAACTAAAACGTTTAACAATTCCGAAAATGCATCTCCGGAATTTCCTACAGAATATTAAATGTTGAACAATTCCGTAGATGCATCTCCGAAATTTTCTACAACTTAGAAGCTGCTTCAATGGTGTAATGTACCACATGAAAGGTCAAAATTTTTTGTTCTGATCACAATTTTCAAACAACAAACAACTAATATGTTGTGTCTAAACTATCTTAGATGTGATTTCTATTTATTTGTAACCCTAACCATTAATTTCTACTCATTTACACCAAAATTCAAAAAACTTACTTGAAATTGACGTTTTGATGAAGTCGAATGATATTACATATGAAGATTGGTGTTCCTTTAAGCCTTTTTTGATGAAATTTGGTTGGGATGTATATAAGTGTTTTGAGAAGTGTTTGAGAAAATTGTGAAATGAGGAAAGGAGGAAGGAAAAGAGTCTGACGCGACTTATACTCCAAAATCTTTCAAAAATACATTTCCAAAATATTTTAACGTTAACTTACATTTAGATGCGCTCGAAGATGCATCTCCAAAAAAAAAAGACATTTATGAAAATTGACATGGTGTCGTAGAAAGGCTTGGGTGCCATAAGAAATTCTTAAAATAATTATAATAAGCCTTAGCCCTCACTATGTGTTGGACCGGTCCTAGACTAAGACCAAAACTCACTCAAAAAGATTTGAATTAAAAAATGCAAACCTAATTTATTCTTTACATAGTCTTGTCTAATATCCAACAATAAAGAGTCAAAATAAGTTAAGGCAATAGATGTGCGATCTATTTTAACAAAAAAAAAAAAAACCTAGAGACAAAGGAATACAGAAAAGGCTAGCCGGAGAATACCAATGCTTCAAACGTGAAACCAAACATCCAGAATCAAATCTATATGCTTCAGACGTGAAACCGAACATCCAGAATCAAATCTATATGCTTCAGACGTTCAGACGTGAAACCAAACATACAAGATTTCTTTAGCTTATCAAAAGTTACGATTCCGAACGTGAGCTTGGACATGCAATAAATGAATTAGTCCATGCAGTTACGCAGTTATCCAATTTACATAACCAAAAACAACTTTACCATAATTTTGAACCATGTACAACTAAGGAGGAGTTCTACACCTAAATAAAGCTATCACTATCTCAACAGAACTTGGATCAAAAACACCTTCAATTTTTCTACTGATGTCATAGAAATCCTTTAGTTCTAATAAACTCACTGGCTACAAAATCACAAATCCATAAAAGCTAAGACTAAGTAACTTGAAAACTATTGAACTTGAGCTTAAACTTGAATAAATATAAACACTGATTCTCAAAACCTTCACAAGATTAATCTATCTTTTAACAAATCCTAAGCATTTGTTATGTTTCGATTCAGTAATACTAGGACTTTGAGTGAATTGTTTGCTTGACTGGCAAGTAATTGAGATTTTCTCCATCGCGTTAATAAACTTGCGCAAGTACTTTATGTACTCGGGGAAAGTTTCAAGGTTGCAATGACCTCCACCTTTAACCCACAAGGGATCGTATTTATGCTTCGAGAGTTCCCACAATCGCTTTCCATGAGAACAATCAACAATTTCATCTTCTGTTCCCTGTCAATAATAATAAATTAGCAGAAACAAAACTAATATTAATGCTGCAAATTCCATTAAACAAACATCCATGTCAGTCGCGATGTTTTCTGCAGAGTCTGCAAATATACCATGCAATAACCAAAATATTCTGGTATGCAAACGCCACCAGGTTCCTAAACAGTCAATTTCTTTAGTCGTCTCGAATCGTTTGTAGAAGTGAAGACATACTTACATGTATAACGAACACCGGACAGGTTACAGACCGAATTTTGTCTATATTCTGAAATGATATGGTAAACTTTTGTTACAACAAACAAATCTCAGTGTTAAAGATTACGACGGAGCTATAAGAACTGTGAAGCAAAACTTACTTTGAATATGTCAAACCAAAATGTGACCTTGACAGGATACAAGACCCTTAATCCTGAAAGAATAGCACTGTGAAGTACAACACCTCTCAATTTCGGTAACTTGGAAGCCAAGTGTAGCGTCGGTCCACTTCCAACCGATTGACCATACAAAATCAAATCTTCTTGCTTAAATCCATATCCACTCTTTAAAAAATCAAATACAGCCTCTATGTCGTAATACGTGTTGAACTCAGACGGCTATCACAGTTGAAGAGAATAATAGAATTAATCATACACAGGCACGCCTCTTGAAAAAACGTATATCGGACACAAACACCACTACAACACTTGTCAACGTGTTAGTGTAGATACCGATATAACATTTGTCAACATGTCAGTGTCCGATAAATACCGAAACAACACTTATCAACGTGTCCGTGTAGATACAGATATAGCATTTGTCGGTGTCAGACAGATACCGCTTCAACACTTGTCGACGTGTCAGTATAGATACAGATATGACATTTGTCCACATGTCAATGTTGTGTCTGATAAATACCAATACAATACATGTCGACCTGACTGTGTCATGTTTGTTTTATGTGTTTGTGTTTCATAGTATTTGAAAACAAACAACAAAAGGGGTAAAAAAAGTTAGTTACTTACCTTACCTGTAGAGCGTCCGTAACCAGAATAGTCATAGCTGCAAACATAACAGAAACAGAAAGAATTACTAAACAACAAACATGTAAAAAATAACAAGAAAAAGGGTTTGAAGAAAAAACGGAAACCTCATGATATTGACACGAAGATGAGCTCTAAGCTCAACGAAGAGATCAACCATCTGACCCAAATCAGCAGCATTACCATGAGAGTACAACAAAGTAAACCTCGCAAAAGGGTGTTTCCAGAACGTCGCAACAATCTTGTTGCCAACTTTGGTATCTAGAATATGAACGTCGAGGCTTTTATCATTGGAGCCGGAAAACACCGTCACGCCGTCGTTGGTCTTGATAACTTCGTACGTCGGTGGCTCCGGCGGGAAAAAAGCGAATTTCGCAGCCACAGGTCCCGTGACATTGCCCATTGACAGAAATAAAAAACGGTTCAGAAACGAAAAAAATATCGTTTTTTATTTTATTTCAACATGAACCAGAACATTGTTTCTGGGTACGATGATGTTGGAAAATGTGTTTCTGGGTACGATGATGTTGTTGTTAAGTTGATATTTAAATAAATTTAGTGAAAAATGAAAAAGGAAAAAAAATGATATAATTTTTAATTGAGTTGGGAAGATAGAAAGGTGAAAATAGATCCGAAGGAAGCGGGTGAAGATGTTGTTCCCATTACCATTCATTGATTCATATTTTCTCTCACCTTTTCATTCTTTTCATAACGTAACATAAAATCATTTAATGGGGAATTTTTATGACATTGATTATAACGTTTTTTTTCTAGATTGGGATGCCATTTAGTACCTCACTAAAAATACTATATAAAACTTTATCCATAAGCACTACCTCAAAAGGCAATTTTAGGATTCTTAACTTGTATTCTTTTTTGGATTTAAACGTTGGACATTATTTTACACATACAATTAATTAAAATATTTATAATTGTCATATTAGTATTTTAAAATAAAAATATATTTTATAAATGTCATTTTATATCAGTGTATTTCCTTTTTTCCTATTTTTTTAATGTTAACTTGTGTTTTAAAGCCACCATAAAAAAAATATAAATAAAATGTTTATGTTAAAAACAAATAAAAATAAACTTTTTATATTGAAAATTTCCTAACATGTGTTTTGATTAGGATTATCTAATGTCTATTTTATTTTAATTCTACTAACTTTGAGTAATATATAAATTGATATTTCTTTTGCCTAACTGCAATTAATGTTTTATTAATGTTTTTAGATTGGAAGAAGTTATAATAGAAACAAAGTTTCTTTTACATTGATGCAAAGTTTATTTTTGAATAAGAACAACAAATCATTAATATTACTTTTTATTATACTTTTAAATATAATTTTCTTCAATTTTTAACTTTTTTTAAATGATTAATAAAGAATAATTTTATAAAATATTATCTTCCCAAAATAAAGAGAATATCACCCACATTTTCTTTTGTTAACTATAAATATATTCTAATGATCATTACTCTCTTCCGTCATTATTATAAATAAACGAAGGAAACATTAAATCTTGGTTATTTTATATATATATATATATATATATATATATATATATATATATATATATATATATATATATATATATATATATATATATATATATATATATATATATATATATATATATATATATATATAAAAAGTTGATTTTTAGAGAAAAGTTCTAAAAAACTACGTGATATTTTTAATATTTATTTGAATTTATAAATAAAAAAAGTGCATATACATACTATATAATATCATGTTTTTAATATATATATTTTTAATATTAAATATTCTCACCTTCTCAAAATATTGGTTATAATTTGTCATTTCACGCATATTAAAAAAATATAATAAATAAAAATTATTATAAATATAGAGTAAAAGAATAATAAATTAAAAGTACTTAATTAGAGAACATAATTGAAAGATAAACATTAAAGTTGTTGAAAATTAAAATACGACACTTATTTTAAAACAAATAATTTGATTTATATATTAAAAATAAAAGTGTAGCCTTCCGTAAAAAAATTCCTCTAAATATATTGATGCTAGAGTATTGATGCTAAAGTATGACCGGAAGTGTAAGAGCGTTTGGTAGGTATTTGTTGTCACATTTACCACGCTACTCTAAAATGGTGCTCCAAATTCTTACACTAAAGTTATTACAAACAACTTTTAGCATGGTGGGAATAATGTGAATGGCATTGGTAACCAAGAAAAGAGTTTGGGAATACATTTCCTCTGCATTTTTTGTGTGTTATGAAATGGCTGTAAAGGAACAGAATGAGTCAAAAGTATGGTCATGGTAGACCGATTGGAATTCGGTGCACCAAACATTCAGAAGAGAAAAGACAGTGCCTAGTACTAACGTTGCTCCACACTTTTATAGAATGGCAGGCTTTTAAAAGGTGTGAAGGAATGGTGATTGAGTGATAGTATTTATGTAACATGTCATATGCTAATTGCATGTCTATCAAATAGGAAATGGGTCATTTCTTTTACTTGAGTGGATCATTCCCATAATTTACCTACCATAAGTTCACCAAAAGAAAATCATCACAAATTTGGTTAGCCTTCAATATCATGATCATCTTTAGCCTGTGTCAGCCTTCAATGAGGTTATCTTTAGCCTTTACTTTGGAATATCTCAAAGTTATGGGGAGACATTTCATGGACCAGATAGGATCACAAAGCTCACAGCCAACTGCAATTGTCATTGGGTCCTATCAAAAGCAAATGTGAAAATGATATAGACCTGTCCTATCAAAAGCAAAATCCATGCATAATGTTCGCAACTTGCAAATGCAAGTAAATGTTGGATAGTAAAATGACATCACATAAGAATATGCACCACGACGACAGATGGAACATCATCGATAATCCAAAACACACACCGACCTTATTCACCATGTATCCAAATGTGCAAGGACAAGCAAAACAGATAGGTATCTTATCTGCTAAAAAGAACATAAGTTATCAAAATCTAATATAAGGAACTGGTATCAAAGCTCGTGTCAATCCTTACACCATATATAAACATTAAACACGATGTCAACTTGGGCTGTATTTGTCTATGCATTAAATACCATGTGACTGAAGATGGGGATCTTGACTCTTAATTGCGCTCAAATAATACATATTCTTCTATTAATGTGGTCCTATCTTCGACAACTGCTACCCAACTTTCTGCAACCTTGGTAACTCTTCCTTCTGAAAGCTCAACTAAAGTAAAGGCTCTTGCTGTGCCTTTAACCTCAGGACTTTCATTGACTAAGCTTCTCTTGTTGCTGTTGTCCAAACTTTTGGCCCGTGGAACAATGGCCCCGTTCAAATATATGGTGTTGTCAGCCCCAACAACAATCATTTTCCTAAAACCATTGCCATGTGCAAGCTCTTTGTGCATGTGACCGAACACAACTAACGGAATAGATACCTCATTGTTCTCTTTTAGCAAGGATATTGCACATGCTAGATCTGTCATACAAACATAATAAACTAGGTTAAAATCAGTATCCCATTTTTGCATAGTTTGCATCATCTCCATCACACTTGCATCTTATGGTACATGTCCACCAAAACATAAAATGGCCAGGCATACCACTACTAGAATTCGACATGCGAGCTCTGGTGGACATATTAATTATTACCTGGGTCACCGTGATCACCACCATCACCCTTAAATTCCCAATCTTTGCCACATATATCATTCAAACCAGAACCAAGGCCTGCACAAAGAAAATTCAGGAATCATTTTGGTATTTGGGGTGTCAAGCCAGAACTGCCAGAGGAAATTATGTGGTGCACCTGTGGGTCCATTATGCGCAAGTAGTATTAGAAAATGATTCTCTGGTGTACCAAGAGCAGCTTTCTGGATTCTCTTGGCACTCTCATCCATGTCTTTAACTCCATATCTAAGAAAAAGTTCAAATTTGATATTGATTGAGCTACAATGGCAACTTCAGTAATTTTAAAAAACCGTGTAACATTATCTTCTTGATAAGTATAGAAAAGACCATCAAACTTCACTTTTACTGTTACTTATATGCCTTGTGAAAATAGTGGATATTAAAATCAGGTATTTCAAGGGGCTGCAAGATATGCGAAATACATTAGAAACATAACTAGATAACATAGTGACTCCCTTCATTCAAGATTAAATAGTGCGATTTTATATTGTCTAAAAAACTGATCACTCTATAGTGATTGTTATGTTAAGTACAAGTTTTTCTTTTTGTTATTTAGAGTAACTAAAACCATTTTTTTAATACTCTTATCTATTCCACTCATTATAATCAGATTATATTTCAGGCGATACTCAAACTCACTTTTCATTATAATCAGACTTCAAATTCAAAAAACAAAAGCTTAAAGAAACAGTTTGAAAATCCTTAAAAGTGACCACATAATTAATGCAAATAAGTAAACTCAACTCTCTTGATGAGATAAGAAACAAATGTTGGAATTTTAAAATATTAAATAGACATTTGAGCCCTTAGAGAAAAAAAGGTCTACAATTGATTTTATGGAGTACACACCTTGCAGACAGCAGCTTTTTTCGAAATAACGAGGTACCCCCACAAGAAAATGGCCGTCCACCAACAACACTTACTCTTATTAGAGGTAAATCTAAACGTTGATAAGCCACATGCTCCTTGCCAAGGCTGAGCTTTACAGTAATACATTCATTTATCATTCATTTTTCCAAGTAATAATCCTATAAAAACTAAGCATTATAAATGAACTTTTCAGTAAATTGAGAAAGGTGCCAATTAGGCTTTTAAGTAATCTAATTTCTTCCTCAGTATTTGATAGCTTCTTTACACTTGAGAATTTTTGTTTCACAGTTAATAAGTCGGCATAGAGATCTTAGAATCTTTTCCAAACCTTCTACGGGCAAGGAATTAGGATAACTGGTCCATTATATATGTACAAAATGACATTAATAAATTAGATAAGAAACTCATAGAATGAATTAAATCTTTAGAGCTTACCATTCAAGCTGAAGCTGAACTTTATCCTTCTCACTAACATTTAAATCAAAGTGTTAGTTTAAAATTGGACTGTAAATCAGCACTCGCAACTAAGACTTAAAGAGCAGAAAACAAACTTCAAATGATATGTAGTTAACATACGGAAAAACTACATCTGAGATCCTTTAACTTAATTTAAAGTTCCAACATGTCATTTATCTATCTTGTGTGTCATGTTAATCTTTTATCTTAAAAAGTACTTAACAGTGTTGAACCAAATTTCATTCTTAGTCTATTTTTGTTATGACACGAGAAATAAAAGACCTGTTTGAAACTTTAAATTAAGTTAAAGGACCCATGAGGCAATTCTGCCTTAACACAGACAAAACTTGAATCCAAAGTTATTGGATCGATGAGATTGTGTGTCTCCTCTGTATGTGTACGGTGCAGGTGCTATTGCTTTGAGGAGAGAGGGAAATGTGGGCAAGTAAAAGATGTCTCCTTGCTCACACTGTACATTTATTGTTGTTTTATCCCATCATTTGTATTAAAAGAAAATGAAAATGAAGCTTCCACCACACACACACTAGCAAAATGATTCCAGGACAAACATGTAAAATTCACCTTTCAGAAAACTTCTTAGTAAACCAGGCGTCATGGTTTCCTAATATAACTGCTTTAGCAAATTCAACATTTGCAACACTTTGAACAACTTCAAGATTTTCTTCACCAAAATCACCTAACAAAATTCAATTCAGGATAAATGAGAAGGGATGCGAACACTTAGAGAAGTATGATTAATAGTAATACAATTAAAACTATCATCGATAGAATATATGGAACATTATAGAATATAAGAAACAGTATCTGATGAAAATAGTGAACAGTTATAGGTAACTTAGATGTGCAAAAAAACAATGCCATAGCATTCAACACAAAATTTCAAAGGTATGCACAAGCTATTTTCCTCCCCAAATAGAATAGGCCATGAAGAACCAAATGAACTAAATTCATTTAAGAAATATCACCATAGTGCGATAGGTTGAGTAGCAGTAACAATGAAACTTGCCTGTAAAGAGCACCAAATCTGGCTGCACTGCAATACAAGTCCCAAATCCAGCTTAGTTTGATGGATCAGATATACATATTCACGTAAATGAACATAAAGGAAAATAACTGTAAATTATACATGATTAATTCAATTTGTGCACTTATACACAAACAGTACACGCTATGGTTTGGAGAAAATAAAAATTAAGAGATCGAATTTTGGATATTGAAAATTCAAAGTGAAAATATAAAATCTATTATGGAAATGAGATAAATCTAGCAGAAATAACAAATGAGGAACATTGAACCTTGATTCCACACCACAATCAATAACACAAAAGAAAAGAAAATATTAGTGTATATTACATACTTATTTTGAAACATTAACTCAAGAATATTTTTGTATAAACATATCATAATCTTCTCCACATTTTCAATCTTCTTGTTTATGTGATATCCAATCAAAAGAATTTTTTTTTCTTCAATAATTTACATTCTCAATTAGTTCCCAATCAAGGGCATAGCTTTTGGATTATTCTCAAGTATCTAACCAATCTTTAATCTTACTTAACATTCTTTCCCAACCTTAACATATAAAGGGTGCAATCAAACAACTTAATTAAGTTCTTATCAAATGACATATCATATCTTAGGCAAGTAAATTCTACAAACTATTTGCATATGAATAAGCATTTTGAAAAACATTCATCACATATCTAAAAATAGAATGATGTGAGGATGAATATGGAGGTGGATAGGAATCTATTTTGAAAAAGATGATAGTTTTGGTCGAGAACGAAAGTTGAAAGTTGAAATACTTGTGTAAATTTAAATTCATAAGCATAGCTAAATCACACTTCAAATACTTATATAAATTAAAATTCATTCATAAGCACAATCACATTAACGTTTCAAAGATCGCTGAGAGCAAGCATAGCCGCAAAATTACCTGGAGGAATTGAAGTGCCTTGGAATCTTGTTCAAAGTTCCAGCAATCATGCTTGACAAGATTAACGAGTTTTCAGTGAATATGATGATTATATTTTATGTGGATAGAAATGTGAAAAGAGTTAGTTAGTTAGTTTTACCACATCGCCGACGACGATAATCCGAACAGAAGACGCCGCCATTGAAGAGCGATAGCGGTTACGATTCAACCTCGTACAAGCGTTTGACGAAAAAATGGAAGGCGCGTGAAAACACGTGCTCAACATAAGATATGGGTTCTTCAACTCACCACCGTCTAAAACACAAAGTTAATTCTAAATTAAAAATAAAGTTGGTTAAAGATTAAAAAATTAAAACTAGAAATATATCTTTCAGAAATTTATGATATTTTTAATAAAATTTAAATAAAAATAATTTAGTAATACTTAAATTACTTACGTTATGATTTTGAGAAGGCAAAATTGGATTTTTTTTAATTAAGAGGAGGCGTTATGAAGATTTATCATAGAGAACTATCTCTAATAAGGTATTATGATTTCTTGAGTCTAAAAACATTAGATCTTCAAGACAATCTTAGATATATGTTTAATCAAATTGACCCGGATCAATTATGAATTGCACGTCATCCCACCTACTAAGAGGTCACACTCTTATCTCTTTTAATTACTACTTCCTCTATTTTATCACGAGTGACTCATTTAAAATAAAATAGTATTCTAAAATGAATGATTTATTTTAATTTTGAATGCATGTTTTTCAATTGTACCCTCTAACTAATACTACTTTCATCATTCTCAATACATGATAAATGTACTTTACCATTCTCTCTCTTTTGTTTATTCATTTTTCTTAATTTGTGTGAAATAATTAACTACGCCACTCATTATGGGACGGAGGGAGTATTCTAACCGAAGAGTAGGCAGAGATATGGGTAGGATTGTTTTAAGGTTGTTTGGGCATGATTATCGCTTTACCCATAATGAAATAGGCGAGCTATTAGGATTTCAGATTAGCCCTGTTGTCTTTACTGAGGTTTCTACTGACAACTTCATGCAGTGTGAGCTTGATAACTTCTGAGGTAGTATAACCATGGAAGCCCCGCTGAACCCTAAAAGGTTGAATGCTTCCCTTATTCATAACTCAGTCATTAGGTATTTTTAGAAGGTTTTAGCACAAACTTTCTTTGGAAAGAGTGATAATATTGACCATGTTAGTAAGGAAGAGTTGTTTATCATGCTTTATGTCTTCCAATCTCGCCTTGTCCATTCTATAGCATTCTTACTTGCAAATCTAGATACAACAACAAAGTCGACAAGAGGAAACATCTTCGTCGGTGGGAGTGTCACTTCCATCGCTTTAGTTGTAGACCTTCAAATTCAAGTGGCACATTTAATCCTCAATGATGCATAGGTACGAGTACTGGTACCGGTACGAGAGCATTTAAAAAAAAATCAAGGTACAAGTACGATAATAAGAAATAATAATTTTCTATAAAATGTATGAGTAAAGAATTAAATTGTTAGGTTTATAACAAAACACCGCTATAAAAAACTGAAAAAACAAAAAATAATGTTAAGATATAATAACAAAAAAATTAAAACACATAAATATGCTATATTGATATTTAAGAAAACCACAAATTTCATTCAAAATCGAATAATGAAAAAAATGAAGAACCGTGAGTACGGTAGCAGTACCCGGTACCAGTACTTCACCATTCTAGAAGTACCCATGTTTCATAGCTAATCCCCATAGGGGTAACACTCTGCTAGATATCGACCACTGCTTGATTAGACAGTTGATAAAATTTAGGCGACCTAATGAGTTCCATTTACTGATCAACAATGAAGTTGTTGTCGTCCCAAACCCTGTAAGAACAAGTGTTCATAATCTCGATAAGTGGCTATACTAATTAGAGGGTTAGGTAGAGGCACCTACCCCTCATTCACCTGAATACCACCCACACCTATGTCAGATGTTTCTTCTTTTTCTTCTTCTTCTTATGTAGGTTCTCCTAGTCCCCAAGGGCATAATGTTGACTATGAGCTCAATGCCCTTAGACGTGAAGTCATCGCTCTTTGCCGAGCCTTACAAGACCAAATAGATAGGATGACAGAGCAGATAGACCTCATATATCAAGAAGTCTACACCTTGCGCAGGGGTATGGGTCCAGTAGCCAGACATCATGGTCATTAATCTTCTCATAGGTTTTAAATTCCTTCGTTCCACTTTCACCAAAAGATTGAGGTCAGTGTTCAATTTAAGTGTAGGGGAGGAACTTTTTTTCCCGTTTTTCAGTTTCCTACCACTTAAATTGGGAAAAAAAGTTTCTCCCTTACACTTAAATTGAACATTGACCTCAATGTTTTGGTGAAAATGGAAAGAAGAAAGTTAAAACCTATGAGGAGATTAGTGATCATGGTGTCTAACTGTTGGACTCATACCCATGCATAAGGTGTAAACTTCTTGATTTAGAAGACCTATCTGATATGTCATCCTATCTGTTTGGTCTTGTAAGGCTTGACTGAGAGCGGTGACTTCACGTCTGAGGGCGTTGAGCTCATAGTCAATATTATACCCTTAGGGAATAGGAGGACCTACATAGGAAGAAGAAGAAGAAACATCTGACATAGGTGCGGGGTGGTGTTCAGGTGAGGGTGGGATAAGTGGAGGTGCATGTCTCTCTCTGACCCTCTAATTGGTATAGCCAATTATCGAGATTATGAACATTTGTTCTTATAGGGTTTGGGGGGAGAAAGTTATGGACAACTTCATTGTTAATCAATAAATGGAATTCATTAGGCCGCCTAAATCTTATCAACTATATAGTCTAGTAGTGGTTAATATCTAGCAAAGTGTTACCCCTAGGGGATTAGATGTGTCATTTGATTTTGGAGGCATACAGCTAAAGCGATGGAAGTGACAATCTCGTCGACAAAGATGTTTCCTCTTGTCAACTTCGCTATTATGTCCAGATTCGCAAGCAAGAATGTTGCAGAATGACAGAGCGGGATTGGAAGACACGGAGCATGATGGACAGGTTGGATGTTTCTTCTTCCTCTCATATAGGCCCTTCTATTCTCTGGCAACAGAGTCAAAAACTTGATATGCTCTGCAAGTGCATGGATATATCGCAAAAATAAAAAGATCAAATTCACAGAAACCAAATGTCAAGCGTATCATTATCTATCGTCGGTATGTAAATATAAGGTTATGGGGAATAATTTTTTTTGTTTGCAAACAAAAAGAAATATGCTAATTTAGAAAAGGAATTTATATATGTATTTTTGTTCAAGAGAATAAATTGAATAGGATTAAGAACTCAAAACATGCAACATTCTCATTAAAATGGAAGTTATTACAAATTTTTAAAATCTATAGGCATTTGGATTTGTTCTAAGATATTCCCTAGGATCATCCGACATATCTAGATTGTAGGGCTGGCAATGAACCAAACCAACTCGAAGATAGTTCGGAATTCGACTCGACAATTAAATCGTTGAACTAGGTTCATGAACCAAATGAGTTGAGTATGAGCGAAAAATTAAGTTCGTTAACTAAATGAGCTGAACTTGAACTATACATAGTTCGAATCGTTAGGTTCATGAGTCAACTCGATTACATATGAAAAGAATTATATTGTCTTTAAGATTAGGTTTAAATATTTACTTCAAATCTTAGACAAATTTAATCTTCAATTTAGTAGTTTTTGAATTAGACTCTCAAATGTATCTCTTGAAAGTTGTGTAGGTTTTGAATTAATAGATTTCGAAGATAAAGTTAAATTTCAATATGATAACTTTTATTTTATTTTAATATTTTATTTAAAAAATATATATTTATTTAAAATGTCAAATATACTAAAAAATATATATATTAAAAAAAATAGTTTTTAAGTTCGTGAATCATGTGAGCCAAACCTAATGAGATGAACCTAATGAGTCGAACCGAACTGTTCGTGAACTTATAACGAGTCGAGTTTGAGCTTAAAAAAAAGTTCGTGTCGAACTCGAACTCGAACTCGAATTCGAACAATTCTTAACGAGTCGAGCCGAGCTGAGGTGAGTTCGACTCGACTCGACTCATTTCCAGCCCTACTAGATTGTCTAAATAATCTTGTCATTCTTCCTTTGCAAACTCTACAGCCTCCTTTCTTAGTTGGTTTCTGCATTTTGACCTAGTAGTTCTTCTTCTTTATCTCTCAACGAAGGTTGCTGAAGAAATATGTGCTTCTGAAGTTATCTGTTTGTTGTAGATCCTTTAGTTGCTGCATTACACTTGTTTGCTTGAGCTGCTACGTTTAGCCTGGATGTCTTTCTAAAATCTCTCTTTGGAACCCAAATTTGTTTTTGTTTATACATCTTTGTGTTCAGAAGATTAAGTGATTATGAAAGTAAGTCTGCTAAGGATTTTTTATAGAATCTTTACATTCGTCACCTTGAGTATTCATTATTTTAATATTGATTAAGTCAAATCAATTTTTAAATACTCATTCTTGGAAATGATGTCTTGTATTCTGACCTATTATAAGATCCTCTTAATATTTGTAAATTTTATTGTTAACTAGTTAACTGTTATTTCTGTTCATCTTCTTACTTCATTAATACTTTTGTCAAAAAAATCTAAAGGGAAAAATAAAGTGATTGTACGAATGCATAATATGCAACGATCAAAATAACTTTTTCATTAATCAAGCTTGAAAGGATTAGAATAAAAGAGGATTGGATTGAACTAAAGATTAAACCTAATATAAATCATCCACGGCCTTGTAATACATCTAGTTATCCCAACTGATATCAGGTTCATCTTCATCGACATCCTCCTCTTTTGACTCTGTGGTAACAAGTTGATCAAACATCTGGTTTATCCTCTTCTTTTATGTCTTCTTCATGGATTTCTTCCTTGGCTTCAAAACAACAGCTGATGGACCTGCTTCTATTGGTCTTTGAGGTGTTGAGGACGAAGCATCGTCTGAAGTGTTCAATGTAGAGGATATAGGCCCAGTTGTAGTTGCTTCAGAAACCACTGGCTTCTGAAGGTCTTCGGTTTTCAGACTTGTAGAGTTCTTTGTGACTTCTTTCACAATAGAGATTTTTTCGCTCTCAATTGAGGACTCCATGATGTTTTGATGAATGATGATGAAAATGGTCTTGGTTTTGGCTGCTTTTATAGTGGATTATAGGCAACCTAAAAGTTGGAATAAAATCCTTTGTTTAATTCTTGGAACTATTATGACCAATAAATATTTAGCATCACTGTACAATCCTTAATGATCTCTATTACTTGATCGATTTCTCTTCCTTGGAAACTGATCACGTAATGATGTTTTTATACACATTTATGACTTTACTTATTTTCTTTTTCTTTTATTCTTTTTAATGTGACAAAAGAGGGAGAAAAAATATAGTAGTATTTAATTAAAAACTGAACATATTTAGTTTGTACATATTTTCTATTTAAAATTTCTATTATTTAAATTTCTGTTATTTTGGTTATGTTACTTGGGAAACATATTTTAGCTTTCTTAAAAATAGTTCTAAGGGGAGGGGGTTTACAAACTTCAACCTTAGACTACTAGATTCAGAAGGAGCTTACAAACCTTAGATTCTGATGTTGTCAAGAAAGTTAAAATATTTTAATTTTCTTGAATATAGTATTTAGGCGAGTTTACAGAACTTAACCTTAGACTATTAAACTCAGGGGGAGCTTACAAACCTCGTACCTTGATGTTGCCAAGAAAATTAAGATATATTTTAGTTTTCTTAAAGATAGAACTTAGGGGGAGCTTATAAACCTCAAATCTGGTGAAACTAAAAAAATTAAAATAGCCCAATATTGTTCTTTAAATACCTATGTTTGTCATCATAAAAAAGGAGGAGATTGTTAGAACAAGATTTGTTCATGACATATATTCCTTGGATTTTGATGATAACAAAGTATTAAAAAAAACAATGGTGTTATCTAATGTGTGTTCCAAGTATGCAGGTTCTAATGCTTAAAGTTATATATTCAAAATCTGATATATGAGGATGCACTTTAGAGAAGCTGAATTACTAGCTTTTGGTTGTGCAGAATTTGAAGAACACTCTGTAAGTGATGTCTGGCGTAGAATCTGAAGCTGAAGATCTCAGCATTAGAAGAAGCAACATATTGCCTATACACTTGGTGAATGTAATTAGGTTATGGTGATCTTTCAGAATTAATAATAAAGCTAAAGTTATCCATACTGCAGAAAGCAAGTTGCATTGTCAAATCAGTTTGTCAGCTAGAGTCTAAGTTCACAAGGCTCAAGAAGATTTGACATGCTTTATGGATATCTACTCATAATGGCTCTATAGTACAAGATTACATGGAAGACGCAATGGTGAAACATGTTACACAATGGATTAAGATCTTTTGATGTATCTCTCTTCAACGTCTCTTGTACTATGGAGAAACAAAGATACTTGTTCAAGTTATTTCTTTCAACGACTAGTCTTTTACAACTTCAATATAAGCTACTGAAGATTCAAAATGAAGTCTTCGAACAAGGGAGCAAATATAGAAGAAAAGCCAAGAAGGATAGAAGTGTTCTACACTTCTATCTTGATGAGAATATTGAGCCAAGTAAGTCTCCTGCTATGCGCTAGAGCATTGAAAGTCTTAATCAATTGTTGATTGAACAGAAGTCTTGAATCAATGGGATTTAAGTAAGAAAGTTTTGGATTGTGAGTCTAAGCAAGGAAGTCTTGGGCATGAGGGGCTTGAGCAGAAGTCTTGGGTTCGTGGAACCTGAGCAAGGAAGTATTGAGTTCGTGGAACTTGAGAAAGAAAGTCTTGGGTCTGGGAGGCTTGAGCAGAAGTATTGGATTCATGGAATCTGAGTAAGAAAGTCTCGGACCGAGGGCCTGAGTAGAAGTCTTGAGTCCGAGGGACTTAAGTAAGGAAGTCTTGGGTTCATATAACTTGAGCAAAAGTCTTAGGTCTGAGGGGTTTAAGCAGGAAGTCTCGTGCTAAGGGTCTGAGTAAAAAAAAGTCGTATGCTTAAGTGCATAAGCGATTGTAATGTTTTTTATTATAGTGAAAATCTATTGTGCTGCAAGAGGGCTGAACTACTCTTATTTTGGAGGAACTAGTATAAATCTCTGTGTGTTCTGTTATTATTTATTTGCTTCTGTTAATATCTGCTGCAATGTATAATTAAAATCTGAACATCAGTTTAGATTCTGAACTCTAATCAGATGCAAACTAAAGAAACGAAAAACATAATTCAACCCCTCTTCTTGTATATTTTTCTCACCTTCAAGGGTTATCGTCCACTTAGTCAACGATGAAACATTGAATCCTTATTTTTCAAGAGGTCATGAGTCAGTTATTGACCTTGACTTCTCTCTATCCCAGAAACATCTTTTCCCACGTTTCCTAAGACAGGGCGATAGGAAGATTTTAGGGTGAGGTGATATCTCCCCTCGGGTGACATGCTATTTTCGCCTATTCTTAGGCGTCCTCTAGCCATCACCTTAGAAGAGTCCCCCTACAAATATAACACTACAATATGGTATTTTCATATTATTTGATAAGTGTAGAATTCAATTTATATAAAATTGAATATGATAGTATAGTTATAATACATCATCAACTACATAAGTGTATCTCTAAAACAATGACACAAATTACTATATAGTGTGAATACATAAATACATCTTCGAATTCTGTTTGAAGTGAATACGAAGATGCATCACCGAATCAATTTATATCAAAATGAATTTGTTTCAATTAAGAATGTATGTAATGTGTATATGGTGAATCTGAAGATATATCTCTAAATAAAATTTTGACAAAAATATAGAGTGAAACTCACTTATAAAGTATTTTGGTGTAAAAATTGTATGTTTAAAAATATATTTACAATTTTTTCAAATTTCTATACCATATTTTTTCACCACTTAAAAAAGGATAAACAATTTTTTTTAATAGGAAAGTCTACAAGACACTACCATAGCACAACAAAACAATATTATAAAGAAAAAAGACACAAACAAGAATACTACAATAAGACAAAAACGAGATAAATTGTTTTAGAAAAATACTAACGGATGTTTTTAAAACACTCATTAAGAGTTTTAAAGTTTAAAATTACTTATATTTAATATTAAAACAATTAACTTTTCTAAAAGATAAAACTCTTTAAAACTTGGAATAAAACATATATTGTTCTTTTTAAAACTTGCATTCAATGTAATATTAACATGATCCATTGTTTTAAATAACACACAAAATTATAAAAATATATCACAAAAAGAGAAAACAAATTGGAATGGAAGAATATCTAAAACGACGATCAACTTATCAAACTAGATAACAACTTCCCCACACAGTGAAGGGTTACCCTTGCTATAGGACTAGTTAATACTAATACATAGTCACCTATATATATATATATATATATATATATATATATATATATATATATATATATATATATATATATATATATATATATATATATATATATATATATATATATATATATATATATATATATATATATATATATATATATATATATATGATAAACCCTTGGAATTAATCCATGCTTATAGTTGGCAAAGTAACAAATTAATGATCAGTAGAAATTTCGGTTTTGCAGAAGAAGGACCTAATCAGAGCCATTATCTATTGAGAAACTGTTTTTGTTGTATCTTGAGACTGCTTTTGATATTTTGCATATGAAGAAGAAGATCTTCCTTTCCTTTGCTTCCTTCTCGGCTGTGTTGTTGACTGCGGGATGAACACACCTGTCCCTTTGCTTTCTTGTCTTCTCAAACCCATCTGCTCGTACATGATATTCGACTGTGGAGGAGGACGATAGATTGCTCCAGAGAAAGACTGAAAGTTTGTTTAAACATATTCATTAAGATCATAATTATCATTAACTTAATAACGCAACTGATACGTGAATATAATCATAGGTAGCATAACGGATGTTGAAGTGTGTAGAAAATCTATATGAAAAGAAATGAGTGAAAAACCTGAAGAGAGTGTTGATGATGGCAAGAAGAGAGAGGGTTTTCTTCATCCTCGTCCATAATTAAGAGAGATATTTGCTTGCTTAGGTCTGCAAAAAATAGATCATCTTCAAGTTCGACGGAAACCTCCATATATCTATCTATAGCTTCACAATTTTCTCTACTTTGCCAAGTATTCTACTTATAGTTTCATGCTAATCTCTTTTGTCATATATTTTATGTTTGTTTTCTTAGGTTATCCCAAACATATACTATATATATTTAGCTTTGATATGATAAAAAGGAGGTAAGTTGAAATGTGTGGAGTGGGCATGCATGTGAGTTGATGGGGTCTTATGGTCAGAGTAGGACCCACTATCTCTTCCACTAAGTAGCTAGAAATCATGTTGTTGTGAATCTATGATATTATTATTATCTAGTTGAGTAAAATAAGAGATGAGGACAGCAAGGGACAACTATTTCAAGATAGATTCAATCTTGAGAATATACAATACTTGGTTGTGGATCATCATATTCATAACCATGGCCCTTGCATAGGTGATAATTAATTATTGTCTCAATGTTCTTATCTGTTTTTGTATCCTCTAGCGGTTAAGATTAAACCAGCAAGAAGTTGATATTCATGTTCTACAACTTGCTATGGGACCCACTATAGTAGTTATCAAAAAGTATTTGGTACTGTTACTTTCTTTTTAGAGTAATACTATAATATAGTTCAAGAACAACAATCATTCTTTTCAATTAGTGGGGTAGAAAAGAAATAAAAATGAAAAGAAAGTGAGAAAAAAAACTAATGAGAGATGTGATTGATGATGTGATGAAAATTGACACCTAAGAATCTAGTTTAACATGATAATATCTTTAATAATAATTTTATGTAGATCATTCAATCACTTTATGTTTTTTTATTGATTTTATGTTTACACTACGCCAGAAATGACATTTAGCAGCGCATACAAAGACAGCGCTTTTAGAAAAAGCGCTGCTAAAGAGGAATAAAAAAAAAGAAAAAAATTGATAACCAAAGACAGCGCTTTTTCAGAAAGCGTTGCTAAATGGGGGTCCTAAGACAGCGCTTCTAAAAAGCGCTGCTAAAAGGGGGGTCTAAGACAGTCCAAAGACAACGCTTTTTAAAAAGCGCTGCTAAAGGGGGGTCCTAAGGCAGCGCTTCCAAAAAGCGCTGTCAAATGGAGGGTCTAAGACAGCGCTTTTCTAAAGCGCTGTTGTAGGTATGGTCTACGATAGCGTTTTTTCCATAAAGCGCTGCTATATGGGTTACATTAGAAGGTCTTTGAGAGCGCTTTTTAAAGCGCTGCTAAAGCTATTAAAAAGCGCTGCTATAGGTTTATTAGAATTAATTTAAAATACCCACCAGAATTTTTAGGAGAAACAGAACAGTCATATTACATTGTTTTCTTTCTTTTTCTCTGGCGAACAAAGAGCGTTGCCCTATAAACCACCGTTGCCGTCCAACCGTCGCCATCCGTCCAACCGTCGCCCTCCTCTGTTGCATTTCGCAGCCGTTTACCGTCCCTCTGCTCGTCTGCATTGCATTTCCGCCATTGTTACGGTATTTGAAGTTTTACTCTGGTTTTCTTTTTTACGTATATTTTCACCATTGTTGCTGTAATCTTTAAGACAAACTGAATATGTTTTTATTATTTGAATGCAATCAAGTTAAGTTATTTTCTGTCATCTTGTTGTATGGATATCTACATGTTAAGTCTCTATGTTGCATGTTATATATTTTGTATTTTAATCTACATGTTAAGTCTCTCTATCATTGTTACGGATATTTTGTATGTTTTAGATTGACAAACAAGAGTTTGGATTGAAACTAATGAATTGCCCTGGGAACTGTTTGTTGTTTATATATATTTTGATTCAATGTACTGATAAATTCAGAACAAGAGTGCAATTAAAAACAAGGTGAATAGAACCAATACACTACGATAGTGAGATATTGAAGGTTAGTCGATAGTGAGAGATGAATAGAATCAAAAAAGTGAAGATAGTGTGTAAAAGTTGTACAAATGGAGAATGAAAATTAGTGGTGAGTTTATATGATGATGAATGTTAGTGTTGTTAAGTGATGGCTAGGTGGTAGATAGTTTTGCAAGGTGAATAAAGAATGGAAGAGATTGATAAAAGTTGTACAAATGGAGAATGAATAGAATAAAAAAAGGAAGGGAAAAGTGAGAGAAAATGAATAGTTAATTAATTAAAAAATATTAATGTAACTTGATAGAGCATATTTTTTTTCAATATAGTTTGGAAATTCCTATTTTTTAAGAGAGTAGCCAACATTATTTGTTTAGGGCATTTCACTTTGCCGACTATATTTATCGTCACCTACTCATCGAATGGTTGGCAAGGGAAAGGTGCATAACTTTCTGGGAGACTTACTTCACCACAAACCGCTCCCTTCTGGATTTTTGAAAGTATCTATTGATATTGCATTAGAGGGGAGTGCATTGTTGCCTATACCAGATGATATTTCAGGCGCAACAGTGGTGGGAGACGCAATAGGAGCGTATGTGGCATGGCCGGCAAATCTGATTTGCATAGATGATAAGGCAGGTTGAACCTTTTAATACTCAAATGTTTTATGATCCATACATGAAAGTTATTCTTACATCTACATTTTCTTATTTACATGATGATCTTAGACTCCTACAAAATCCAAATCAAAAGATGATAGAATTATTGTGCGGGATACCGATTCAGCTGCATCAAAGAAACAGGTACTACTACAGTTACATGACTATCTTGTTATACATTAATTACTGAATAGAGATGGCAAAAAAACCCGGACCCGTCGGGGCCCGTCCGGACCCGCCCCGAAATTAGCGGGGAAAACCCGGTTTGAGTGGGTGCGGGTGCGGGTGCGGGGAAAACCGGACTTTTAATTACGGGTGCGGGTACGGGTGCGGGGAGACACTAAGACCCGTCCGCACCCGGCCCGGCCCCGCCCCCGAATAATGCATTTTAGTTTAATTTTCTTATTTTACTTATTTTAATATTTATTTATTAATTATATTTTTAATTAAATTATTAATACCTTTATTGCAATTAAAATAATTAAATTAATCAAATTAATATTTATTTACTAATTAAAATTTTAATTAAATAATTAATTAATTTATTAAAATAATCAATTTTTTAATTAAATTATTAATTTTTATTGTAATTAAAAAGAAATTAATTTTTTTCGGGTGGGGGCGGGGCGGGTGCGGGTGCACCCGTTCTCTACTAGGGGCGGGTCTGGGTAGTAAATTTTTATCCCCGATTGGGTTTGGGGGCGGGGGCGGGTGTGTTACATGGAGGCGGGTGCGGGTGCGGGTATAGTAAAACCCGCCCCCGACCCGCCCCGTTGCCATCCCTATTACTGAACTTATATATGACTTTTAGGTTCATGATCAGCAGTCGCAACAAGTCAGCAAGGGTAAGATGCCTGAAACTTCCAAGGTTCCCAGAAAAGCAATTGTTCCTCAATTTAGGATGTGCCTTGAAACATATGTCGGAACATCAGATGTGCCTGAGGGTGGCATCTGTCAAATACACATGGAGGCAGGTATTTTCGATTTTGAATATCCCGAAACAATTGCTAAGGAGGATTTTGATCAGGTTTTCAACCATTCTGAATTAGGCGTCGGTGTTATGCATTCATACATCAGGTACTTCGATCCATTTTAATTAAATAATTGAACATTTTAAAATTTGCTCGTTTAACTGGATATTCTAATGTTGATTATGTTTTTTTAGGTTCTTGTATGACAAGTTATTGGTCCCGAATGAATTGACTTCAGTATTCGCATTCTTATCTGCTAGTTGTGTCAACTCATGTATAATAGACCAGACACCGGATACAGTCAAAGAGTACACAGTGCAAAGATTTATGCGCGCGACTACGGAGAAGTTGTTCTTGTTACCATATAATACTGGCCATGGGTTAGATTTTATTCTAAATTCATTTATTATAATTGTTCGATTTTTTCCTTTCTATATAACATTTCCGTCTAAACTGTTGTCTTATGTTATAGTGGACATTGGTTGTTGATCGCGATTAATCCGACGAAAGAAATAGTGTATTATATAGATTCATTGGATGGCGATACAACAAAATATGAAAATCTGAGGAACTTTGTTGATACGTAAGTGATGAAATATACTGTTGTCTTTAATTATATATCTTTATTTATTATGTGACATTGTTCTAAATATGCATTTATATTATGTTAGAGTTATACAAATATTCAGAGCACAAAGAGATGCAACGGTGCCAAAAAGCAAGGCTAACAACATCAACTGGATCAGAGTGGAGGTATATTTTCGCATGTTTGACTGTTATAGTGGTTCTACTTGATAAAACTATTTAAACTATGTATCCTGATAAATGTCCGTTTGTTTTTTCCATTTACAGTATCCTCGGCAGCGCAATGGTATTGACTGTGGATATTTTGTATTGCGCTTTATGAGGGAAATTATTCTTTCTGGTCAACTTGAGATTCCAGTCATGGTATGGATCAATTCATTATATAAGTTATATGATTCATTTTGATAATTATCCGATACTTCATCTGAGTAATTAGTTTTAAAATTAAATCTTATTCAATCTGTTATATTATGTAGTATTTTGATGAATTCAAGTGCGCTACTTACACGAAAGCAAAATTGGAAGAAATTAAAGAGGAATGGTGTCAATTTATTCTTGGGTTGAGAATTGTTTAGAGTTATCGGATTGGAAGACTTGTAATTATATGTAAATTGAATGTATTTGTGTTGTTGTAATTCTGAGGATCGAATTTTGTTGTAATATATTTAAACAGGTTTATGTGTATATTAAAATGTTTATGAACAAAGTGATGAGTTACAATGTATCCAAAGTTTTGAATTGTATATATAAGGCCAAATTAAAGTTTGAATTGTATATTTAAGGCCAAAGTTTTGAATTGTATATATAAGGCCAAAGTGTTGAAATAAAGGCCTGAATTATAAGCAAGTTTGTGTAATATAAGCAGGTTGTTGGTAAATATACAAAACAGGGTGAATATTTTATAAAAAAAATATTTTAAATCTGGGACATTAGACAGCGCTTTTACAAAAAAGCGCTGCTAAAGGTCACAAACATT